TACGAGGTGCGATCGGAAAGTTTCAAGACTGTGTCAATAGCTGATTCTAAAGGAAGAACTCCACATGCGACGCATCTCGGCCAAGTTTGTGCCAAGGCTCCTGTCTGAGGACCAGAAGCAGAATCGACTTCTCGTTTGTCAGGAGCTCAAAGATCTTGCAAGAACCGACCCCAACTTCCTTTCTAAGGTTTCCTCTTCTCAAAGATGAAAATTCAGCTAAAGGGAATGAGATTTGAGACGATAGAAGAGATTCAGGCAGAATCGCAGATGGTGCTTGACAGGCTGACAAAGAAAGATTTCCAGGGATGCTTCCAGGCTTGGCAGCGGCGCTGGGATCGTTGTGTTCACTCCCAGGGGAACTACTTCGAGGGTGATGGATGAATTTAATACCTGAGATAAGTGTACGGGTTTTTATACGCGCAGTCTTGAAACCTTCCGATCGCACCTCGTATTATAGCTCTTTCAGTACCTTGCATAAAAATAATGCAGCACCATTAACCTCCTGATGCTGCCAACATAACCACCGAATATGGTACACAAAAATATTCGTAGACTTGGTTTATTTTTTAATCGTGTTTTATTTAACTACGTTGACAGAACATCAGTGTATGTGGTAGAGGAACACTGTCAAGGTAGCAGGTTTCGGAGCCGAAATTTGAACCCAGGTTCTTCCAAACACAAAGCAAAGTTGTTACACAGTGGGTCGCGACATTCGGTCAAACACTTAGTTCCAGCGGTTACTTAATTACTGTCATCCACGCGCGATCGCCATGTTGTTACATTATTTTCTAAGAGCATACGAAAAAATTTCACGTTTTAGAAAACCAATAATTACAAAACATAACTTGATCTCATGCTATTTGTGACTGTAGGACCCATGAGGTAGAAAGCTCAAGCAATGGATGAAGATCGTGTTGATTTTACTTACATAGGTTTAAAAAAAAACTTTCAGGTCCATTATTACATTTTAAATTACTTTAATTTTCATCATCTACTTCACTTACAATCATACTGTCCCTATGAGCAGACGATTGTCATTTATTTAAGGGACACGAATATGGATGGAACGCTGACTGATAGCAGTGCTAATATTATAATATATTTTATTCTATTTTGTGTTTACTTTAGTGTAATAAGGTAAGATTCCGATATTTTAGGCAATGAAAAGCTAGTGAGAAGTATTCTGTCTTGCCTGGAATTTTTACACCATGTTGTCTGATAGACGTTTCCCGACGTTTCAGAGAAGCTCTTCATCATAATTCTGATTAAGGAGGAAGTAAGCATCTTGAAACGTCAGCAAACTTCTACCAGACTGCACGGTGCAAGATTTCACAAAATGTAATTCGTACTTGTATCTGAGCGAACTTCAGACTTACCCATAGCATGATGACGAAATTACATTATTTAATTTGAAAGTAAATGCTTTAGAGCGAGAATATGATTCCTTTTGTCATATTTTTACAAATGAACAGTGTGGAGTTCTCATGTCTTATTTCTGACACTCTAATAGACATCATCATATGTCTCCTTGTATATATTCTTCACAAGAAGTGTTTAATGCGAAGATCATATCAGTTCATATATTTATCTGAAATTTTCCCAACGGATTTAAATTAAATTTGGCACACAGGACTTTACTCTGGATTACATTTTTTAATTAATAGGACCATCGGTTCAGACTAAAGCCCATATCAAATTTTTAGACCTAACATGATATATAGCAAATCATAAAACAACAATCTCATTAAGAACTATAAATTTTAATTACAAATTTTCCGGATAAATACGTGTTTAATGAAATATAATAAAGCATTTTATAAAAATGTGTAATTTAACTTTTCTGTACAATATCAGAAACATGTTACAGATTCTATAAAGTATCTGTCTCTTTAAGTAAGGCTTTAGAGTTTGTATATTTTACTTAGAGTACTCTGTAGAGTAATGTGGCATTTCAAAAGTCCAAGAATGACAACTTGGTCCATCGTTAAATATTCTATCGGCAGCTGGTTCTACTTCCATCTTCAGGTGAGTGCTTGTTCTGTTAAGTCTGGGTTGTGATTAGCCACTTCTGTGGGGGTAGAATAGGTATTTCCGCCCTAAAATGGGAGTAGAGCCAGTTCCAGAGACGCAGTGTTCTCGTTTTAGGATATTGAAAGATGATTCAAGTCCAGGAATACAGCAAAACTGAATGTAATGTAGATCATTGTTGTATTAATGTGGTCTGAAGTAATTTTTGTGCAACAATATGTTCAACAAACGAAAAAAGTGTATTCTGTACCGGAATAGTACACATAATATCCTCATGTGTTATTTTCCATGTGTATTAAAATGTATTACATACGCCTTGTCCAGCAAAATAAATTTACAAATCTTAAAATTTAAAAAAAAATACTTTCTAAATTGTCCAAATTTTTAAATACCCACAATAAAAAAACTACATTTTAAAATTCATAATTAAGAATTTATAAATTTTTAATATTTAAATTTTCTAAATCTTCGACATTTTCAAAATTTGGAACATGAAACGAAACCTTGGGTCCTGTTGTTGCGTACCAATAACCTCTGGTAACGCGGATTGCTTGCTACTAGAAAAACGGAAGAGACAGACTATCGTGGATGGACACTTAAGGTGTTCTTCGTATATCCTAGATCTTCAAGAACAGCAAATAATAACGAATCCTTGGATTCCATCACACCAAAATTTTTAAATACCCACAATAAAAAAACTACATTTTAAAATTCATAATTAAGAATTTATAAATTTTTAATATTTAAATTTTCTAAATCTTCGACATTTTCAAAATTTGGAACATGAAACGAATCCTTGGATTCCATCACACCAACACTTTAAGAACTTTACATACAGACGACATAACACTGTACGTCTATCAGTGTATAAACTAATTGGCTAATTTTGTCTATCATGTGTTGCAAAACATCACAAGTCAGACCAGAAATTTCAACATGACTTACAAATATAAAAGTGGATAGTTCTCGTCTGGTGTGTAGACTTTACGACCGAAATGAATGAATAAGTTGTGTAATCCTTTCATTGCCGTGCACAATAAACAAGTAATCCTTGCCCAGGATGCAATATACCGTAGTCTAAACCTAATCAGTAGTCTGGTTTCATTCAGTTTACTAATTCCTAACAATACAGATTCCATGGCTGTAAAAATGACTTATTTATACAGAGACATACTAACCTTTGTACTCTAAGGAACCTGGATGTTAGTCTAGGAGAATGTTTAACAGAAGATTGGTGATGGAGAAGCTTTAAAATTCCTTCTTGTACAGTACAACTATAATTCATGTTCATTTCTTTACTGTAGAATGTTTATAAAAAACATGTTTAGTGTACTTACAGACTGTAAAGGGTTTAGCTTAACGCTTATAACACAGGGTATTATATATCATGTTTCCTTTCATATAACGCTTGTGATATCTTCCATACACACTGGACAATCTACATTAAGGCAAACTGAGTCAGAGGCACGGAAGCACGGAAAGAATCTACAGGATGTTAAAAAATTTAACTCATAGTAGTTAAGCTTCCTTTAAGAAAATGGATCTACAGGGTGTTAAAAAAGTTAACTGATAGTAGTTAAGCTTCCTTTAAGAAAATGTGTAGAGTTGATAAGCACTTACAATTCAGATGTATTTATTATCTTAACGTGCTAACTCAATTGCTACAGAGAATTAAATACAAGAATAATAAAGAGGGCAATATAAGCATGAAGAAAACATAGTGAAACATCCTGGAACACAATAAATAATAATGCACAAGACATCAACATCGGTAATTACAGACCAATCGATATAAACAAAATATTTACATTAAACGTTTATTGTCAGACATGCTAATTTAGGTCTATTACAAATCTCATTAGCACCTAAGCAACAGAAATTACGTAAGTTTCTTTAAGTTTTCGATTGTAACTCTGATACTAACAAGTTTCCTAAAGATAAGGTTATGTAATAAGCAGTTATAAATGTTCCTTATGAATAATAAATCATAGTAACTTTGTCTCTCGAGCAATGTGTTTAGATTTAATTTACCAAAACACAGTTGTAATTACATTTATCGTGATTTTCGATTTGTTAACATTAATAATAGGTAACATAAGGCGAATAATGAAACTTGTTCTGCTTCAGATCAATAGTTACCATTTTCTCACTCTGTGGATGCAGCATGGACCCCTGAAACATCGGTAAACTTCTACTAGACTACACGAAGCAACAACCCAGTAGACTTCAAATCCTACTTAAGTTCTCATTCTGTTTCTCCAATACCTGTATATTTTTCAATGTTGCCTTCTCTCCAACTTACGTCGGTTTTAATACGTTGTGTGTTTGTCTTTCACAAATCAAAACTGAGAAACGGGCTCCGAGTGAGTTTCCAGGGTTTGAGACGTCTAAAACCGTGCGGCCTCTGCTCCAGATAAAAAATTATTTGACAACTGAACCTTAATTCATATCCATAGATAACCCCAAATTATAGGCTTTACATTTATTTGACAGCAAATTAAAATGTATCAAATCCAAAGTTGCCACTCTCTGACTGATTTGTTTACACGCTCTGAATTCCTCGCTTATTGCTGACGTAAACTAGCCGCTATATTATATGCAACCTTTGTTGTCTGAATGGATAAAAACAACGTCACTGAAATCAGATTTGCAAGCCAGCGTGGGAGGAAGGGTGGAACTTGTCTGATACACACAGACCAATCTGTCTTTCATGACAGTGGAACTCTGGTCACCATGACCACCTGACGTTATCGTTCAGTCACCGCGAAACTCGTGACGCCACAAAAAACATATCGTTCCAAGTGCTTCAGTGAAAGAAGATCTCATTGGTAATACAGCCAAAATATTGCAAAAAAAAGACATTGAGTGAATTAGGTAATGAGAAATTCGTAACAGAACAGTTATGTTACAGTGAAAACCGTCTGTGATTCTGACGAAAACTGAAGAGTGCATCAATAATATTTTCCGTAATAAGCGACAATTTTAACTTGAAGATTATATATATTTGTTCCGTTAGAAATAGTGTGTGTATTTGTAAATTAAAACTTCTATTTACAATGATACCATAAGAAATAAATTTTGGGTGATGGGAGGATGTAGAGATGAATGAGTGTCTGAAAGAAAATCACCAAGATTTAGTTTCAGTAAGTGAAAACTAAATATTTGAACAACTAAAATATTACCTCTTTCTGTTTAAAAAGTATTTTGAAATATAAACATTTGAAAGACGAAAGATGGTTTCTGCTTTAATGTCATAAAATTAACACGTTAATAATACATGTCTCTCTGCTTATTTCAAAATATTGTTATATGTTATTCTTTAAATTTTATAAAAGATGTGAATTTAAATCACCGTTCGTACATTCTTAATTGTGAATTTGAAGTAATCAACCACTAAACTCGTCGCAGTTAAACAATTACTTAAAATTTTTACGTACCTATATGTAAACATATTACGCTATTTTAAAAAAAATATTCTGTTAATTTTAACATATGAAACAGGTTATTTGCAGAAAATGAAAAAAAAATTAATAATTTTTAATTTTTGGGTGTAATATTTGTATTATAAACAATTGATGTGTAATATATTACAGAAATGAAATTAACGTCTCCATTCATCGTAATCAGAACAGAACTTCATATATACTGTGATAAAAAAACTCTACACAGTCACGAAACTATTTAAAACAGATATTCCCGACTGTGATTTAAGTGTTGAGAAAGCTGAACAACGTCGTCCATGAGCTACTAAGTATCCAACCCCCTCTCAGAACACTTTCTGTCAACAGTGGTAATACATGGTGATAAACATAAGATGGATACAACTGGTGGATTTCACGGTGATAACACATTTCAACAATTGTTACATCATTGCACATCCCTTCCGCAGTCCACTACAGAAAAAGTCAGCGATCATGTATCTGTACCTTTAGAAAACCACATTAAAAGACCCATGAATGCTTTCATGGTATGGTCAAGGATTCAACGCCGGAAGATCGCTATAAAGAATCCAAGGATGCATAATTCAGAAATTTCCAAACAGCTCGGTGCTGAATGGAAATTGCTGCCTGAATCGGAAAAACGTCCCTTTATAGACGAGGCGAAACGACTTAGAGTTCAGCACATGCGTGATCATCCCAATTACAAATACAGACCACGGAGGAAGCCTAGAGGTATGAGCGTGAGTGGACACATGTTCTGCAGTCGTCGAGCTGTCAGCTCAAGTCCACGAGGTACCAGCAACGGGGCATCGTTCTCGTATCCATCCTTCTCTTATGTTTATCCCACGGAGAAGTTCTCCAAGAGTTTCTGCGCAGGCTCAACAGGTTTCATGGCGTCAAGATTTCTGATACCGCCAACGCAATCCCTGACCCTCCCGCCCGTGATGGACACGATTGGTGCTCGATTGGACAGCTTCAGGAACTTCCTGCAGCCTCAGGCGCCAGGACCCGAGATTTCTCCGGCCAAGATGTCTCAAGTTCCTTGTAATTTGATGTTCATCCGCCCGTGATGGACACGATCGGTGCCAGACTCGACAGCTTCAGGAACTTCCTACAGCCTCAGGCGCCAGGACCAGAGATTTCTCCTGCCAAGATATCTCAAGTTCCTTGTAATTTGATGTTCAGGGGCAAAGAACAGGGTCCAGATGAAACAAAGTTCGTTGATTTGCCGTCAGCATTTCATCTGATCTACAGGACCGGTAGCGAAATCGGACCATCAACTGCGTGTGATGCAGGACATCAGGTGGACATTGCCTCGAACACGGAAGGAAGCTGCTTGAGTTCCCAAGAAAATGCAACAGACCTAGAAATAAGGACTCTGGCTTCGATGTTCTGTAACGATTTAATAACATAAGCATATTCAAAACATTTTAAAGATTTTATTAAATCAAGTCAAAATTCAGTTACTATTTCTTTCGGAGTAGAGTTAAGTTGGTTCTGGTACTTAATAAGAACTACGCTATGATTACGTCAGAGGGTAGCTTCAGCACTGGATGGAGATGAGATCACCTTCACGCCCAGACCACTTTCCCCCGAGGAATAACTTACCGATAACAATAGGATAGGGGAGAGGGGTAGCGGGCCCAGAGTGAATCTGGACACGGAGGCTAAGCATTTACCCCTTCCAGGAATCGAACCCCCGTCGTCCAGCTCGTAGTCAAATCACTACTGACTGAGCTACTCGGGCTCTGTGAATGCCCCTGAGCTCTGTTATTAAAATACATAACAGTGCTAGAAATGCAGGGAGGTTTATAATATTACAATCCTGCAGTTAATCACAAGGGGTTAGGTGATGGCCACGCAGTTCTGTAACTCCATAAATGAAGCTCAGGTGGTAAAACAATGTTCTGACTTTTATGGAACCTGAATATGCATTATCGATTTTCAAAGAGCCAGGAACTTGCTGAGTCCTGTCCACGTCCTCACTCTGCTCCATGAAATTTATTTTTAAAATTTTCTTTCTTTCCATCTACGCCTAGATCTTCGGGTTGTTTGACTACAATTCTGTAAGCATTTCTGGCCTCCGCCATGCGTGATGCATGCCTCTTCCAGCTCTTCAACTTTGACCTAATCATTCCAATAATACACGAGCCATCAAACTCTTAATAAAGGAAACAAATTAAAACGCATAATCACTAATTCTTCTTCCTCAATGACAGATAGCGTCCTACGGATTGATGGGGTTTGTGAAACACTCACTTAAATAACATGCAATGTTACAGGGGCAAAAATGTCATTTCACATTAAAATTTACTGCAGGGTTTGAAATAGGCATGGGCTGAACGACACAGGTTCGACACCTTACAGGACAAGGGATCCACCCACTAACTAACTAACTAACTAGATGGCTTACAGAACCCGAAGGTTCATCACCGAATTAACCAAAGCCCTCCACCGGACCCTGTCCTGGGCCAACAAAATCCAGT